TCGAACCCCAATCTCCTGGATCCTAGGTTGATGCTCAACCACTGAGCCACACCTGGCTGGGCTTTATTTCTTTTCTTAAAAAAATATGTCTTTATTGCTTTCAGAGAGAGAAAGGGAGAGGAAGAGAGAGATAGAAACATCAATGATGAGAGAGTCGTCAGTGATCAGCTGCCTCCTGCACATCCCTGACTGGGGATCAAGCCACAACCCGGGCATATGCCCTAACCAGGAATTGAACCGAGATCTCCTGGATCCTATATCGATGCTCAACCACTGAGCCATCCCCAGCCGGGCTGCCAATTATTCTTTATACCCGAGTCTCTCTCTCTTGCTCTCTTTCTTTCTTTTTTCTTCTTCTTAAAGCAGGGCCTTTGCATTTCTGGCAATAGTGGTTTGGTGATAATGAACTCCTTTAGTTTTTTTGGGGTTTTTTTGGTCTAGAAACCTTTTTGTTTGCTTCCAATTTTAAATAATAGCCATGCTGGATAGAGCAGTTTTATTTGCAGGTCCTTGTTTTTCATAATTTTGAATATTTCATGCCAGTCCTTTCTGGCTTGAAGTGTTTTTGTTGAGAAATCAGCTGACAGCCTTATGTGATCTTCCTGGTAGATACATACTTGTCCTTCTATTGCTGCTCTTAAGATTCTCTTTATTTGTAACATTGCTTACTGTAATTATGAGGTGTCTCTGTGTGCACCTCTTTGGGTTCATCCTAATTGAGAATCTCTGTGCTTCCTGAATGTATGTGACTTTTTTCTTCACTGAGTAAGGGAAATTTTCAGCCATTATTTTTTCAAAAAGGTTCTCAATCTTTTGCTCACTCTCTTCTCTATACCTCTATGATGCAAATATTGTTACACTTGATGTTGTCCTTGAGACTTTTCTCATTTGTAAAGATCTCTTCTTTTTATTTTTATTATTTATTTATTTATTATTTATTTATTTATAAATATGTCTTTATTGATTTCAGAGAGAAGAAGGGAGAAGGAGAGATAGATGAGATGATAATGAGAGAGAGTCATTGGTCGGCTGCCTCCTGCATGCCCCTACTGGGGATTGAGCCTGCAACCCTGGCAAGTGCCCCGACTAGGAATTGAACTGTGACTTCCTTGTTCATAGGTCAATTCTCAACCACTGAGCCACACCGGTCAAACTATCTCTTTTTTTATTGCTCAGATTGGGTGCTTACTGCTATCTTGCCCTCTAAATCATGGATTTTATCCTCTGTTTCACCTAATCTGCTGTAGATTCCTTCTAGTCTATTCATTTCATATATTGTATTCTTCATTTGTGACTGTTTTTTATGGTTTCTATGTAATATTTAATGTAATATCATTTTGTTTAAGTTCTCATTGAGACTATATATTTTTTTGACTAAGGTACTTGAGCATTCTTATAACCATTGTTTTAAACTCTGCATCTGGTATCTTGGCTGTTTCCATTTAATTTAATTCTCCTTCTGGACATTTCTCTTGTCCTTTCATTTGGGGCATATGTTTTTGTCTGCCCATTTTGTCTCTGTGTATTAGTTAGATCAGCTATAACTTCCAAACTTTTTATGTTGGTTTTATTATGTAAGTGTCTTGTTGGGCTCAGTGGCACAATTTTCCAGATAACCTGAGCTCCATGCAACAGAAATGTTTCTTTTGGGTTATGTGCACCCTCCTGTTGTAGTTGAGTCTTCAATGCTGCTGGCCCCTTTGTGGGTAAAGTTAACACCCCAGGGTGACTGACTATAAGGTTATATCTTGATCACTGTGTATGAGTCACTCTGCAGGGACTCCTCTTGAAGTGGAATTTTTCTCAACAGGATCTAGTGCTTGCTGGAATCCCCCTTTTGTTGTGCCACTTGTGTGGCTACTTGTGTTGAGCTCTGGTGTGTTCTGAAGTTCACCACTAGTTATGTTGTTTCTGGATCCATTTGGACAAGTTTCAGGTACAGGTTAATTTCAGGCATTTTGTTTAACTGGACTTGGGCTACCTGTTTGGAGCTACCTAGCTATTCTCCCCTTGTGGTTACATCTATTTGGCTTTGGTGTGTATAGGAGGGTCAGCTTCCTCTACCTTAAATGTGGGGGCACTTTTATAAGAGGTACTAGGCTACCTGAGGTCAGCCTTCTCCTGTCAGTTACTTGGCCTCCCTCTGAGGTTGCCTGGTCTTCCTCCAGAGCCTTCTGAAGAAGGGCTGTAGAGTGGGCCAAGGCTGGTCTCCATGCATAGAGGCTTCCACAGTTCTTGAGTTTGGAAGTGCAGGATGATCAAGGTCAAGAGAATGGGCTAGTGGTTCGTCTATTAAGGCATTGCACAGTCAGGCATTCATTGAAGGGAAAATGGCCCTTATTCTAGAGTCACATCACTCAGTTTCTGCCAGAGTCTCTAACTTCAGCTCCCCCAGGAGGAGCATACAATAGGTTCAGGTTGGGTTCAGCCAGCCATTTTCTCTGTAGGAACAAGCTCAGCAGGGCAGAGCAACCTGGGATGGGGAGGACAGATTTTAAAAATTTCCAGTTGGGGGTGGTGCTGGCTGAGCCTGCAGGAGGGGGTCAAGCACTTTGTTCCAGCCCCAGACAATAGCTTTTGAGGGACACACACTCCAAATGTCCTAGCCCCAAGCAGAACACCTTTCTCCCACTTAACTGAGCTAAGCAGGGAGTAGCCAATGGGACTTGGGAGGACAGATCCAAAGAGTCTCTTGTTTCGGGTGGTGCTGGAAAACCTGTAGGAAGACAGCAGGCACTTCTTCCTCTTCCCAGGATAGCAAGATATGAGCTCACAGGAGACGTAGAAATTGCACCATCAACAATTGCACCAGATCCTGCCTGTCTGATTACCAAACAAATGTCTCTCCAGTTGATACTCTTGTAAAGTCCTAGCACTGTGCAGTACTCTGATCTCTTTGCATGACTGAACTCAACAGGGCAGGCCCACAGAGTGGAAGAGTAGGTCAAGTGATTCAACTAGTAGAGGAGGGAGCAGAAGTGCCCTTGAGATGGGTAAGAATGATCCCATTTCCAAAGCTACACAGTTTAATTACTGTCTGAGTCTTTGCCAAGAGCTTCTCTAGAAAAAAAGCACCCCAAAGGTCCCTGTTTACTGCAACTAACAGACACCTTCGCAGGACCCGAGCATAGCAGAGTGGTGTCTCCAGTAGTTGGAGGGCCAGGCAGTGCACTTCACAGGCTGGTGCTGTAACAGAAGTGCTCAATCTTGGGAAGGTGGCATCTGGGTCTCTATAAGACCCACTTCTCTCCCAAGTGGACTGAATATCCACCTATTTTCACCACCAGTTGCTATGTGGGCTTCTCTTCTCAGTTTTGTTGCTCTGGATTGAGACCCTATACTCCTAGGGGGAGTTATTTTTGCAGCTGAGATATCCTCAGCCACTGCACATGGATGCGGGGCCATCCTTTTCTGTGTTTCTGTCCTTCTTACCAGTTTCTATGTGGCTTCTTCTGTAAATCCCAGGTTATAATATTTTAGTTCAGCTAGCCTTCAGTTGGTTATTTAGGTTGATGGTTTTATAATTTAGCTTTAAATCCTGTTTGGGGCCAGGAGCAGGTGAGTGTTGCTTCCACCTACCCTGCAGCCATCTTTGACTCTCAAACATATTTAAATTTATTTCAGTTGAAGATAAATTGAAAAAATATTTTGCTCATGGCTAACATTTCAAACAGTACAGAAGACTTTAAGCTGAAATAAATAATTTTTTCCCGGTACAACTGTTAACTGTTGTGGTTAAAAATAACCACTGACTATAGTATCTTTGGTCTTTCCAGGAATTTTCTATGCACATATATGTACACATTTTTTTCCACTTATCTTGGTTATCTTTTATTTCAACACATAAAGTGCTACTTTAACCTTTTTAATTACTGTAAAGTATTCTATCATATGGATGTAGTATTATTTATTCAGTTACCTATTGATGGGTATTTCTAGAGTTAAAAAAAAAAGTCTGTTATAAGCATATATCTACAATTATCTCTGTATACTTGTCCCATACTGATAAGTCAGATTTTTAGCTGGAGCATTCTGAGTCAAAGCATCTAAAATTTTTATAGGTTTTTACTCCATTGCTGTCCCCAAAGTGGGTTTTAAATTAACACACACAAAAATGAGAATCTAAACAAGCTTTTCCCACTTTAAAACTCACATTGAACTCCAAGATGTGAGTAAGTTCTCTTTTTTGGGCATGAAATGTAAATTTGCCAAAGATGAACATTTTATTCTACAAAAATATTTTACTCCTGGGCAAGGCTTACCATTGCTTACTTATATTTTCAAGTTAATAACACATTACATATGTGTATTTTTCCATGAATTAACTTTTTAAAAAATTTACAAATGTTTAAAATAATGTATTTGACTAATTATTTGTTCTAGGCATTGACTCATGCTATTTCTTCCACTTGGAAAATCCTTCTCACTTCAGTCCTGCATGTTGATGTCTTATCTGCCCCTCATGGTTTAATTTAAATGATACCATCTTCATTTAAATCATGTTTCCTTTCTCAGTGCTCCCAGCACTTCTATTCAACTGTTTTATAGTTCACATTTTACATTATAAGTCACTTATAAATGGTAGCTATTATTATTATTAGGTACTGGATATTTTCAGTTCTCTAAATGTTCTTGTTCTCTTCTATTGTGCTTGCCTGCTCCAATGGATTGGTTTAGCTCAAACTACATATTTAGTATTGTGATACTAAATTTATTTTCTTTTAAAATAAATGGGCCAGGATTTTATTTTCAAGAACAACTATATAAAACAACATTTTTATTCTTAAGTTTTAGATTTTTTAGCACAGCAAACTGTCTCTAGAATTCAGCTGATAAACACATGCAACTTTAAAAACTAAGAGTTAAATTTGTAACATGGATGTCATTATATTAAAGGCCTTTGGAGGCAAGCTGGCATAGTTTACATACCAACGAACCTATTTATAGAGCTGACTCCTTCTTGTAATGTCAACTGTAATGTTATACTTGTTCAAGCACCCATGTCTCGCATATCAGCCTTACTAGTTGTTCAGTTCTCTTATTTGATATCAGAGAGCCCAATGGAGCCTTCTGAAGAACCTAGTCAGATTAGCAAAAATACCTTTTTAGAAGTTCCTAATTTATCTGATTCTCTTTCTGAAGATGAAGAAGTTAAAGCTACTTTTAAACCTGGTTTCTCCCCTCAACCTAGGAGACGCGGTTCTGATTCTTCTGAAGATATGTATCTCGACACTCCATCTTCAGGTACTAGAAGAGTTTCATTTGCTGACACCTTTGGATTTAATCTTGTATCTGTCAAAGAATTTGATTGTTGGGATTTACCAAATATTTTAACAAATTTCAACTTAAGAAAGGAGATTTTCCACCCAGAAGAATATGTTTTATCTCCACTATTTGACTTGCCTTCTTCAAAAGATCTTATGCAACAACTTCAAGAACAGAAAGCAATATTGGAGTCAGCTGAGTATCTTCCTGGATCTACAAGTGTAAAGGGCATTATTCGAGTTTTAAATATTTCTTTTGAGAAGTTAGTATATGTGAGAATGTCCTTAGATGACTGGAAGACACATTTTGACATTTTAGCAGAATATGTCCCAAATTCATGTGATGGTAAAACTGACCAGTTCTCCTTTAAGATTTCATTGGTTCCTCCTTATCAAAAAGATGGCAGGAAAGTTGAGTTTTGTATACGTTATGAAACTTCTGTTGGTACATTTTGGTCAAATAATAATGGCACAAATTATGTATTAGTCTGTCAAAAGAAAGAACAAGAACTGAAGCCTGTGAAATCTTGGGAAGAATTTCCTAACAGACAAATAAAAGGCTGCTTAAAGGTGAAATCAAGGTGAGAATATATCTTACATTCTTTACTCTTTAAAATCTTAAAGCTTTTTATGTCATTATTTCATGTGCTGTTAAGAGATAGCATTCTGTTTTAAAATATACAGCTTGTTATGTATAAAACAATGCTGTTAGGCCTTAACAAGGTAAATGTTATTTAAATAATTGCACTGTGTTATTTCTCCTGCAAATATAAGGAAAAATATATGGTATAATGCAATGGTTGGAGGGGTAATGCAATGTGTATATAGCTTGTCTAATGAGATGTAAATTGCTAAAATTGAAATTATAGAATCCAGATTCTTAACATGTAAGCTTATTTATTTTGTCATTTAAAGTATATTTATTTTCAGCAGTTTTGAAATGTTTTCATCATATTTCAAAACATTTCTGAGCAACATAAAACTGCATTTCAATGTACCTAGTGCTCAGAAATTTTTAGACTTCCCCTAAAAGCTGCAACACATTTTTGTTTGGAGAGATACATGTCAAGTTAAATCATAAAAGCTATGGCTTTAATGATGAACTAAGAGCAAGACATAAGCATGTGAGTGATGTATGAATTACACATACAACATAATAACATAATTATAACCAAATACAACATGGAACACAAAGTAGTATAAGTTAGTAAAAGTAAATGGAGCAGAATTTTAAAAAATATTCAGCTAGAAATAAAAATATTCAGCTTTATAGTTTAGAGATTTGGTATACAACTCCTCATTATTAGCCTTGCTCTTCTGTTAACATGAAAAACAAACAAAAAATATTGACATTCAGATCTCTTTGACTAATCTCCATGGCACTAGGCTAGTAATTAAAACATCCAGAAGGAGATAGATCTCTTCTGCTTCACAGTGTCCTAATGGGAATGTCCACAGTGCTCCACCAGCCACAGGCAAATGTTTGATTAGCTTCTGGGTTGTCCAAACTGTCTTTAGACCCAAAGATTCTAGTAACTTCACCAGCAATAGTATAATATGATGAAAAGGGAACTGCATTAAGGATCAAGACACCCAGATTCTAAACAAAATTAAATAAGAACCTAAGATACGATATGGGGAATTTTTAACTTCTTTACACTTTAATGCTTTGATCTAAATGTGTAATTCTAATGCACTGATGAACTAAATATAAAATAGATAGAAACAATTAACCATACAAAATGTTTCTATTTTCATTATCCTTTAAAGTCATTTGAAATATTGGTTTACTCAACTTTGTGAATTATGCCAACTTTCTTAGTCCAAAAAGAAAACTTTCTCAGATTTTAACTAATGTTATTAAGAGAGAAAATATAATCATAATCTCTATATGTGCTAAATTAATAACTTGGGTATTTATGAAATTACAACATGTTAGTTATACAGACAAAATAAGTTCAACACTATTTAACAAACTAATGTTTATTCATAATCATATATGTATTAAATCCTTTCCAAATGAGATCATCATCATGATATCTATAAAACATGCTGCAACTTGCTCCATATGTTAGAGGAAAGCAGAATTTAGAAAAGGCACAGTCTTATTATCACAGAGCTCATAAAAGAAGCAATGTTTGACTCAGGGATTTCCTGTAAATTAAAGATTCAGGTTTAAAATTACAAGGACTATATCCTGAACTATGATAAAATAGGGGATTCCTTTCATAAACCAAACTTTCATTTGATATTAAGAACAAAATGGGCAACTGATAGGCCTAACCTATCCCAACCACTATAATATTGGAACTTTTAATCTAAGATATGTATAACTAAATACAAGGTGGGGCAAAAGTAAATTTACAGTTGTTGGTATGGAAAATAATAAAATAATTAATAAATAATAATACAAGAATAAACTCTATGTTTGGTGTACTAACAACTGTAAACTTACTTTTTGCCCTACCTTCTATGTATATATCCATAAACACATTTGTATTCAGAACAGTAATCAGTGATTTCATAGCAGACACCATTCAGGTTTTTTATTTATTTATCTTTATCGTTGAAAGTATTACAGATGTCCCCTTTTGTTCCCCATTGACCCCCTCCACCTCTCACCCACCACCTCCCGAGGCCAATATTGCTTTGGGGAAAAACCAAAGAGGAACTAAACCACAAAATAGTCTAAAGACCTGTAAAGTTTCCTAATGAGTAATAAAAATGGAAAAAATCCCTCTCCTTCAAAACTACAAATACATTTTCTGCCCGTTTATAACTTAAAAATCACCAGCATCATTCAAGCCACATTTTTAAAAAAAGCATTTGCCTCTGGAGGAGGCCTTTTGTGCTGAGTTTCTGTCCAACATTAAATTTTACATTTGATTTATATATCACTCAAAATGAAGTGTATAAAGAAATCCTGACAAATCCTTAGAGGAGAATGTTACATTATAAAATATTTATATTGCTTTTCCATGATATAATTTATATGCAATGGAGTTTCAAATATTCCCAGAACTCACACAAGAGAGCATTATCAAATTTCTAAATGAATATTACAAATGGATTTCATAGTGAAGAATTTGGTTAGAGAAAAATGCCATATCATGTTAACGCTATTTTATAAAACGTGTACTTGACTAAAATAAAAATAAACCAATACTTATTTGATAAATATTTATAGCCTCTAAAATATCCTCTTCCCCCTAAAAAGTTACAGAATCTAAATGGGCCTTTTCTTTTTTAGCATTCCCACACTTCCTATGCAGGTAAATTTGGAGGTACTTATTTCTGAAGATGGACAAGGGAAATGCATGTGAGTTTTAACTTCATACTTTCAAGTAGATTAATAATAGTGTACAAAATAAGTCAGAGTTAAAATGAAAATAAAGTGTCCCTGACGTAGGGAGTAACTTCTAACTTGAATTCCTGTTAATACCAAACTTAATTTGTTATCAGGGTCTTGGAGATTGTTTCTTCTGAGAGTGTCAATAATCCCTTCTAATAAGTTCAGAATGAGTTGTGGGAACCTGTTTAGTAAGGTTTCAGTTAAGTCAATCACCCTGGGCAATAACTTCTTTTCTATGGAGATATTTTTCAGATCAGAGATTGCCTATTTTCTTTGATGTAGTCACCTATTTTCTTTGATGCTTGTTAATCTATCTACTTTTAACAACAACAACACAAAAAAATCTAGAGGGAGAGGAAAATGGAGTTTGTAACTCATAGGTGACTGAGAGCAACCCAAAAGTATTTAATTGCACCAATAAGTCATGCATCATGAAATACTGATGTATCATCACATATATGGCACAAAACTAAGCAGATTTCTGATCTACATCCCATGGACTTTATTACAAAGAAATAAATGGCACTGGTATAATTTGCATTAAATTTACATATATAAATAGGCTAAAAGTAGCATACAGAAGCAGTATAATAACCTCAAAGTTAAAATTATGGGCTTCAGAGTCAAACATATCTAGATTTGAGTCCAAGTTTCATTACATGCTAGTTGTGTGACCTTGAGCAATTTTAACTGTGTTTCTTCATTTCTTAATTAGGAATAATAATAGTAGTATCTCCTAAGAGTTTTTGAGATACATGAAATAATATATATAAACTTTTGACACAGTGTCTGGCACATAGTAAGTTATCAGTAAATATTAACTGCTGTAAAAAGACAAGGCTAAATCTAGCATTAGGTAGATCTGAAAAACCCCTAGAAGGGCTCAACCTGCCCAAAAGTTCCTTTCCTCTTTCTTTTCAGGGTTCCTAAATTTTCACCTGTCGAGAGCCATTTCCTTGTCTTTTGCAGGATTTCAATAAATACATAAAACTGAGTGCAGATTTTTCTGAGGTGTGTGTCACTTTATTTCTGGAACATCTTAAAGTTGAAAGAGATCTTAATGAATATTATTTCCATATTTAATAAGTAAAATAATGGAAGACCAGATCTGAAAGGTTAAAAAGCCATTAATTTTGCCATTAAAAAGACATGTGCAGCCCTAGCTGGTTTGGCTCAGTGGTTAGAGCATTGGCCTGTGGACTGAAGGGTCCCGGGTGCGATTCCAACCAAGGGCATGTACCTCAGTTGCAAGCTTCATCCACTGCTCCAGTTGGGGCACATGAAGGAAGCAACCAATCAATGTGTCCCTTTCATATTGATGTTTCTGTCTGTCTGTCTCTTCCTTCTGCTCTCTCTGAAAAAGCAACGGAAAAAATATCATCAGGTGAGGATTAAAAAAAAAAAAAGGGACATGTGCATTAAACCCAGTAAATGTATACTTATTAGCTATGTGACCATGGACATATTACTTAATTTCTCAAAGCTTCAGTTTGCTCATCTGTAAATGCTGTGTTCAAAACTCATTTCACAAGTGTTTTAAGGGCATGTGTGTCAGGTACTGTATTGTAAGGCATCAGCATCCAACAGAGAAGCCTGGCTGGAAACATGATCCTATGAAAACAAGGAGAGGTCCCTAGGGAAAAGGCCTCTCAAGGGATGAAAGCAGAGAGGTGGAGAGAGAACACCAAAACCAAGCTCAGATTCTTTGGATATACAATGGTACTTATGGATAAAAAAATGAAATAAGAACCATTAATATTACATTTAGAGTTTTCTAGAATGTGTGATCTGTAACTGATCTTGTGTATTGGGTAAGAGAGTTACTTTTTCAGCATCTTTTTTTTTCTTCCACCAGCTGCTAAATGTATGTTCCCAATTACTGGGTACACAGACTAACTTCATCTGGTTTAGTATCTTAGTAAGTGAAACCAGTTTATTATTTTAAATAAAGAAATGGCATGATATAGGTGTTGGATGGTATTTATAACTTGACCAAGTGAATACAAATAAATTCATGAAAAATTTTAATGCCAAAGGAGAAAATTGATCAGTGGTCTTTTTTTTTTTTTTTTTTTTTTTTTT